CTACATGCTGAAAGAGACAGAGACATTTTCAGATAATGGTGAAACATATTACTTTGCTTTTTGTGTATGAGAGACTTCATTATAAAAAAGTCTCATAGCTTTAAAGAATTTTCCTGTTTATTTTACAGATTTTGTTTGTATTTCCAACATACATGGAAAAGGTAATAAAATTACAAAAATATACGGTGAGATTACATGACAAAATTAAAATAAAAGCAAAATCTTATAGCTGTGAATTACCATAAAGTTTTAAAGATTTCCTTTTTTTTTCATAAAAATGTTACAAATATTTACATTTTACTGTTTCACAGTTTGACCTAGTTATCCTAGTTAGTTATCTATCAGTTCTTCATTTTTTCCCAGTTTGACAAACCCATTCATGGTGGAAACTGTGTCTGTAATATATATTAAATTAAGTCTAAGTTTATATTTTTCATAATAATAAAGAAATTATGCAAACCATGGTGAAGGTCAGTAAACAGAGTGATGTGGTGTATGCAATTAACCCTTGTGCTCTGTTCGGGTCTGTGGGACCCGGAGACACATGTCACCTTAAAAACAACAATATATATTTATATATATTGTTGTTTTTAAGGTGACATGTGTCTCCGGGTCCCACAGACCCGAACAGAGCACAAGGGTTAAAGGTTATTATCTTTTTTTTAAGATTAAGATTCTTTGAAATACATAAGATTTCATTTAAAAATTAGGAAGAAAAAACTACATTTAAAATTATAGGAATTACTGTGTTTTTTTGATGATTCTTTGTCATTTTATGGTAATTTTAATATTCCTTTTTAATTTTTTTTTCCAGTGTAACTGTTTAGCTGCCAGGTGAAATGGAGACAATCCCATTTCACAATGAGCATTCCTTGTCTGTCTGCATTGTTGACTGCCTGTTTATACTGCTTATTTTGCATTGTTTGCCCAGTTTGTTGCTTGTAAATACTGTTTATTTTGTTATATTACATAGCCTTATGCTGGTTTACTCTTTAGTTGCCCCTTGCATGGGGATATGTACATGCACATTGAGAGCCGATGTACCAGAGTCAAATTCCTCGTGTGTCCGACACACCTGGCCAATAAAGCTGATTCTGATTCTGATTCTAAATTACTTGTAGGTAGGTGTGCATGCCTATGTCTATCTACTGTACTTGTGTTAGTCTTGTGATAGACTGGCAACCGATCCAGAGTGCACCACACCTCTCACCCAGTATGAGCTGGGGATAGGCTCCAGCCCCACTGCAACTCTGCTCATAATAAGTAGGTATAAATATTACATGAACAGTTGGACAATGTCACATGTGAAATGAATGTTACACATTGGGTGCTCAGTTTTGTCAGGGCTCATACGCCTCATACAACAGCCTTGGCTGCTCACTAATTTGAATTTATGCTCTCACCGCTAGTGCTGATACAGGCCTACTGCCACTTTGCAGCCATCCCTTTGGCAAGCACTGGATCTCGTTACATAGAAATAGCCAGCGGTCTGGTTTGCTTATGCTTGTTATGCAGAGGCTTCAAGATTAAATTGAGACCGGCTTCTTTGGTAAGAGCTCCGTTTTACATTGGATGGGTTCAGAAAAAAATATCTGACCTGCTGTTAAACAAAGCTTTATTTTGCTGAATGCCTGAGTCACGGCTTGTTAAAGTCTCTCCTCTCACTTTCTCTTATCCCCTCTCTCTCGCGCCCACACATGCACACACGCCGCAATTGTGCATTGCTATGATATCTTCCTCTACAGTTGCTAAGCAACTATCTCCCACCTAAATAGCATTGCCCACAGCCAAAGCGCAAGCTTTTTGGATAGGAGTTAAATCCAACATATTTTTAATATGGTAAAATACACAAGCAATTCATTACTCTCAGTTTCAGATGGCTGCAGTGACAGTTAAATTTTAAACATCGCGCTTATACACACCTTAACTATATGCTGTATGTTTGTGTGTTTGCATTTGTTGTGTTTCTTATTTGCTTTCTACCTCAGTTCCAAAATCGATAGTGAAAATGGGTGAAGACTGGGAGGGCCTGTTGGTGGTGTGATGGTGGTGGTGATGAGCCCACTGTTCCGGCTTCCTTCTATAAAGATCCTCGTAGCCCAGAGGAACACGGCCATAATCCTGACGAGGGAGTGTCGGACAGGAGAGGAAAAGCGTGGACGAGGAAAATACAGTTAATTATATTACATCATAACAGATTAATGATAAAATATTTAGATCATGTTGATTAACAATCCAGTGATGATAACGTTAGGTAGGCAGCACATCTGATAATGACCATTTAGAACCACATCAGGCAGTTTTTAGTTGTATCTTAAAGGACTATCCAGACTTTTATCCTTATTTTGTCCCTCCACACTACAGTATATGCAGGTGGTGGATAATTGCACTGGGTTTTCAGTATTGTTTGTTCCTGCATACGTGAGAGATCTTTTTTTGGATGCTGGGTTGCCATAATGCTTAACAGTTCAACGTTGAAAGAATTGGTATTAGAAGTATTGCTGCAAATCTCTAGGAACTATTCTTTGATTATACATATTTTAATTTACACAAACAAAGAATAATTTGTAGTCATGTGTTGTCCAGCAAGATGCAAAGCTTTCACCATCACACAAGCCTCATATTTTCTGCAGCAATCCATCGGTTATGTCCAAGAAATAAACACCTGCTTCTGAAAGGCACACTACTTGCATTTTTTACCACTGAATCGCTTTTTATTATTTTCATCTTCAGTTCAAGTAACTATCATCCCAATTTAAAGTCTAAACTGAGTCCTTTATTACAAATTTCTATCACAGATAAAGTGGCTGCACACACAGCACTGTTGGGAAAAACATGAGAAGAGAAGTGAGTGAGGTAGGCAGAGACATATTTGGGTGAGAAGTGGGAGGACTACAAGGAAGCTGAAGCTCTATGCTGCAGCTCTGTAGCTGGCAGGGAAGGTAGAGGTGAGATGATGTGTGGGTGTAAAAAGAGAAACCGAAGGAAAGCGAATGTTGCTAAAAAGAATACTCTAATAAAGATGTTAATTGTAAGCCAAATAAAATGTTTCATGACAGAGAAAAGAAATACAGAAAAAAAAAATTACTCTTAGAAAATAGCATTACTCATTGATTGTTGTATGTCTTAGAGTGGATTATCTCTGTTTAAGTATGTCTGGGATGAATGTCACCCAAGTGGGAGAAACTATAGGCTAGTAACAATGGGTATGTGTTGTTATCTGAAGATAAATTCCTCACACCAATCAGAAGTGAGTCTTCCCCTTGGCTGTGGTGTAAAATGTGCATTATTTCACCTACCCTGTGCAGCCCTGCACGGTGTTCAGCTCCAGAGCAGTAGTTGCTATCTAGAGAGTTGAATCTCTCCCTGAGTGGAGGCTGGTAGACAGAGGAATGCAGCACTTCGGGAGGCAATGAATTACTCCTGGCATCCTCTCTGTGGTACAGCTGTAACGGCCATCATCATCGGTATGAGTAAAGTTGCAGAGTAATTAAATTGTACAGTAACAACATAGTTAACAGAAGTCTCACCTGAGGCCTCCATACTCTCCTGCTGTCATAGAGAGGAGCGTAAACCCCATGAGCCGGTGTCAGAGAGCCATATTGAGGCTGCCCCGGGTGAGGATGGAAGGTGGGAGGACCCATCCGATCTCTAGGCGGGTGTGGTGGGTACCCCGAGGGAGAGGAGGAAGGCGGGTGTGGCAACTGAGGATCACTGGGGTAAGTGGATAGTGTAGGGCCAATGGAAGGTGGCAGAGAGGATTTTGGGACGTCAGACGATCGGAGGAAGCGAGCCATGCAGGGTTTGTGAGGAGTGTGAAGAGTAGATGGGTAGTAGGAACCTGCTGGGGAAGAGGGGGAAAGGAGAAGGACAAAGGGTGAGAGAAGAGCACATTCACTGGCACCTTCCCAAGACAACAACAAAGTATTGTTTTTAGTTCAAACTTGGGTTTAAAAAACAGACTCACAGGTTGGTTGATAATGGGCTGCGTCATAAGCAGAGTGGGCCTCCTGATAGTAAAGCTCTGATGCCTGAGAAGGATGCGGTGCGTGCAGCATGAACGGTCCATGTTTGGGTATATGAGCACCACCATCACTTCGCCCAACTGCGGTCAGGGGAGATGATGCTGAGGAATGACTGACTGGAGTCCTGGGAGGAGAAATGGTTTTCCTAATGGAAAGAATGGCAATACAAAGAGACAGAATGAACTAATGATTGCCCCGCAGGCTGAGCTGGAGCCTAAAGTTAGACCTCCCCAACAGCATATAAACATTTGACTACTTTTCTGCCAAAATAACATGCAAATATCTATTGTGTGCAAATACACATATTAGTTGACTTGTAAATGTGCATTTGTCTGCAGCAGATTAATTCAAATGTAAATGATAAAAAAATTGACACGATTAATCTTATGAAATCCAACAGTTTTTATTAAAAAAATTCATTTGAAACCATGCATGCAAATATACATTTATTATAATGTCTATTTTTATATTGCTCATTTAGGCAAATCTGACTCCACATAAATAGTAGCATGTAATATTAGGCTTTTCACAGAGTTAAATGCCAACAACAGAATAATCTTACTGTTCTGTAGACCCTGATGTGGTTCTGCTGGTGCCAGATAGTCCACTGGACCCGTTAGCCCCACTGGATCCATTTGGGACCACTCTCTTCATTTCCTCCATCATGTCAGCCCCTCTGGAGATAAGCTGGGTGTGACTCAGCCCAGGAACACCCTCTGCCAGGGTGGCTGTGCTCTCCCCTGCTCCTTTAAGCCCCAGACCTGCAGATCCATCTGTGTGGATGCTGCCCTCCATGGTGAAGGTTTTACCCATAACCCCTGGTGCTAAAGGGAACGCACGGCCCACAGTGCTGCTCTTCTTGTTCCTCAGTCTAAATCTGTAGTGAGAGGTAAGTATGAAAGATTGGGGAAGAATGTGCATGTGCATGCATGCATGTATAGCCCTACTATTGCAATAAAAATGTCACAGAGCACAGCTTGGGAGAGGAAGCTGGGAGAGGCTGTGTGGACACATAAAACAGAAGATTTTTGACGGGCACTGAGCAGCCCAAGTTCACGATAGGTTAGGGACCCTTAATGTAATGTATGTATTTGTCTGAGTTTATCAAACTTCTAATTCTTTCTCATATATGAGCTTTATGTTGAGTACAGAAAAAAGGGAGTGTGTGTTCTGAGTGTATGTGAGAGCTCACTCACTTCTCAAGCTCATCCTGTGTGTGTGCGAATGTACAGTTGGTTCCTCGGGGGCAGCCTCCCTGCTGACGAAGGTCTCGGCACATGCTGGTCTTATACTTGTTGTTGGCCTGAGGCTACAAAGTGCACAAGATTCATCGCCTCTGTTCTTTTTAAGGACACAAGCATTCCATTGCTTTTTTACAGCACATCAGTCTCATGCAATTTTCAGTTATACTGTTCATTTCATTGAAACAATGAAAAATATAAACACACACCTCTCAGTTTGAAGTTGTAGTAGTAATCATATAATGATCAGTTCCAAGTGTAAAGTTCACGCCAAGATGTTAGTTCATGTTGACTATGTTGGCCTGAGGCTACAAAGTGCACAAGATTCATCGCCTCTGTTCTTTTTAAGGACACAAGCATTCCATTGCTTTTTTACAGCACATCAGTCTCATGCAATTTTCAGTTATACTGTTCATTTCATTGAAACAATGGAAAATATAAACACACACCTCTCAGTTTGAATTTGTAGTAGTAATCATTAAACTTGGATAACACTTTATGTTAATAATGATCAGTTCCAAGTGTATAGTTCATGCCAAGATGTTAGTTCATGTTGACTGTTAACAGTGTTTAAATGCTGCGCAGTAAAAGTATAAAGTAACAGAAAATGAAAACACTCAAGTACAAATACCTCAAAGTAGTACTTAAGTACAGTACTTGAGTAAATGTACTTAGTTACTTTCCATCACTGTTTATCTTCCATGTCAGTGCCTGAATGGAGCAGCAGTAGAACTGTGCTTCGTTACTATTCTACACTTTACCACAGGGCTAATGTTTATGACTGCCTGCAGCCCATCTTGTTTCTTGCATCGTTCTGTTGTCTATTTTAAGTCATATACAGTGTTACACCTCAGCCTATCACACCAATGTACCTGTGGAATGTCGTGGCTCTTCTTGCTGAAGTTCTGTATAAATTCCACCAGTCCATGAACCACCAGCTTCACAGCCAGCATCACATGTTCCAGCTCCTCCCATGACGGCGCCAGGGCATCTGCACACAGATCAACAACGCAGTATGTTTAATAGATTATTATCACAGTGCCAAGTCTCGAGAAGGCCTTACATTACAGGAAGGCCAGGTTTCACTAAATCTAAAAATAATTTGGCTGCTACAGTATCCCTTTGAAAATGTAGAAAGAATTACAGAGATCATTAAAAATAGATACCAAAAGAAGACAAATATATAGCTTTGCTAACATTTTCTAATCTTTATCTTCAATTTGGCACTTGCACTTTTTTTATATTGTTGGAAGAAATGCACCACTGCAGACATGTGGTGTACAGTGGCCTAAAAATGTGCATGACATAGACAAATTAATGTACATAATACAATAAATTACAGTTATATAAAATGATGTGTGTGTCCTTTGTGATAATGCAAGAAGCACTTGACTGTTTCAAGACAATATAATAGCTAAATTTAACAGAGAACCACAATACAGAATACATTTCTGAGTGCCATAATATTTTGAACTGAAACACACTGATCTCCCTGCTTAGTCACTGTGATTAACACATGAATCAGTGCTTTTATGTGAGTGCCTGTTTTTATTCTGAGAAGTGTTAATCATTCAGACTTATTAGAATTTATTCAGATGAGTCCTGTTAAACAAAGTAAGGTACCAGGATTGTGGTCTATGTTGGCTAGTAGCTCTAGGTGCTGTCTAAGGCTGGTGAGGTTGGCAGGGTCTCCTGTTCTCTGCAGAACGATTGTCAGCTCCTGAACACTCTTTGCAAACGACTCTGGAGACTGCAACTGGAGCAGAAAACAGAAGAGGTGAATCAGTCTTTAAAAAAATCAATAATGTCTCCTGTGCTTCTGTTTTCTAGAGGTTTGCTACTGTCACCATTAGAAATTTTAAAAGAGAGTGCAGCAATAATGAACATTGAAACTTATGTGGCAAGTGGAACAACAGCCTGGCACTAATGATGAGCACATAAATCATATTAGTACCTTGTCAATGATGGACTGCATATGTGACTTGTGGACAAGGTCTCCGTACAGCAGGGACGACCACTGCTCAGGTGAGATACGTAGGCCTGCCTCCATGGCAATGTGGACAATCTGGGCATCGTGTTCTCTCCTGAGAGACTCGTATGTACGAAACTCTTCCTTCAGCTGCATCAGCGAGGAGTCCTCATCACGCTTAGTCACCTGAGAGGGAGGACAGGTCCAACGGCCAAGGGAAATAAAAAAGAATTGAGACAGGAGAGTGAGAGATGAGGAAGAAAAAGGAAGAATAATGAACCAAAATATCACTTTATCCCAAAAAGAAACTTCACTACACTTCTGAATACACTGTACATGACAATAAAATTAAAATTCAGTAAATATTTAATACATTTGCATTCCATGACATTTATGACATTACATGTCATAAATATTTAGATTTTTGAAGTAGTTTTTTAAAAAATGATACAAAACACTTGAAAGTAGAACCTGCTACTGCATTAATGATGTTTATGAAGGCATCAAATCTGAGATATTATTTATTGTTAGCACCTGAACGGTTAAAATGTACTCGATTAAACATGTGGCATAACTTGTACGGAGCAGTTTTATGTTTGCATCTTTTGGTGTCTTCAGATTACTAAACTCTAATTCAGATCACACAAGGGAATTTCCCTTTCTCAGAATCTGCCCTATGAGTAATCATCACAAGACACCAACACACTTAGCACAGTACTATCTATTGTTTACACATCTAGCTGGCTCAACACTCAAAATTACAACTGGACAGATTTCATCTTTATTTGAGCTCCTGTTGCTGTTGATTCTCTAGAAAGTACTTCTGCACTTTCATCTATCTTTCTTTGTATCTCTGTGCTGCAAGGCAGGGCAACGGGGGCAAATATAGACTTGTGTTACATCACGAGCGGATAGCTGGCATTTCTGCCCTACCAATGATTTCTGTCATCTGATCACAGGTGCACAAATACTCACACATACAAAATATATCCACAGGAGCCAATAAACTTGTTACAGATATGACTGTTATGCAATATAAACTATTATTAGTATCAGAATTTAGGAAGTGATAATACATAACCTTAAAGTCAGTCTAGAGATCATATTAATTTGGAGAGCAATGCGCAGTTGATAAAAATTCCGGCAAACACCTCAGGTACAGCTAATAATATAAAAAGTATCAATCTCAAGCACTGTCTCTGCAGTAAGAGAATATGTGGTGGTGAATGAGAATCTATTTAAACACTCTTCATTTATTCAGGTCATTTTTTATGGCTTGGATTCTTGAGACAGCAGCACACCAAGGCTCTTTTGTTCAGTTTGACTGCAGTCAAAGAGCTGTGGTAAGCCCCATATTGTTTGAAATAGAACCATTAACAATGCACATATTTGTAGGTTTGCTATGTATCTATGTGTGTGTGTGCTCATTCACATTCAGTACCTTAAAGCAGGAGGCCCTGTAGAGCAACTGCACCACATGGCCTATGCTGGTTTTGGAAGCCTGGGGGAACCGAGCCTCGAGCTTCTGGACTACAAACAAAACCAACACCTTCCTGGACAGAGCTGAGCCATCCTCCAGAGCCAGTAAAACCAGCTTCAGTGCATCTTCTTGCATAGCTAATAGAGGTTGGAGAGCAATGTAGAGATAGAGTGAATGACAACAAAACAGGAAGGGTGGGTGGAAGCCCAGAAAAGATTAAGAGCATGAGAAAAGTACATGAGGAGAGAATCAGAGATAATTGTTCAGCACAAACACAGGCAGTCACAGGTCAGTATGCAAATGCATCCCAGCACAGCAAATTTAATGTTCTCCACTGATCAAACAAAGCAGTTCTATATCAACGAACAGTTCTATAGTATTTCTACAGTAGAACCAGGTGTCCTCAGACTTTTACATGAACTCATTCTGTTATCATGATGAGAAAGTTTCCCAGTCAGAATCTGCCCTATGAGTAATCATCACAGGACACCAGGTACCAGCTCCAGCAGTCAATTTGATGAGGCAGTCAGCACTGGCAATTTAGACCATGTATTCAATTCAAAAAGACTTTTGAAAAGAGTGAGTTAAGTTGAAAAGGCTACCAGTTCCTTCAGATTCACACACCCAACAGCAGAGTTTGATGTTTAAAGGTCAAGTATTTCCAGGAGCACTAATCCAACTGGTTTACTGTAACAGTATTTCATGACTTAACAGTATCTCAAAATAGCTCCAAAACTGACTAAATATGAAAAATAATACAATTATATTGTTTGTATTTACAAGTTCTGTATAGACAAAAGTAATAAAAGCAAAAGGTAAGACTGTACTGTATATCAACTATTAGCTGTACATTTTACAGGGTGTGAACGTTTTTTAGTCACATGTGGTTACATTCGAATGTCTTACAAAAACATGTAATTGCCTTTCCTCACAGATGTATGTGTTATACTATTTTGTATAATTAATGTAATGAAAGCACACTCACCAGGTCCCAGGAACTGGCAGCCCCGTGCCCTCACCGCTGCCCACAGGTTGGCAGAGAGTTGCTGGGGGTTCTGGTGCTGCAGGATGAGCTCCGTTACCGTCCGTTCTCCCAGCGACCGGCCTGCCCGCACCGCTCGCACGCGGCCCTCCTCCTCCACCAGCTGGCAATTCACCAAGGTCACCAGCTTCCTCTGCATAGGCCGGCTGAGCACACTCGGACTCAGGGTGGCCACACCTGCACATAGTGATTCCTCTGTAGTAAAACAGTGCCAAGCTTCACCACATTTTGCTTTAGTTATCTTTTTTTATTTGATAGTTTCAGTATAACTCTATCTAATAAAAAACTGTGAATCAAAAAACATACTCTGAACAGAGAGTCTACTACAGCCAGCTACGTACTGTATGCTCTGTAGGCTAATTGAAAGGGCTTTGTATGGAAGTCACCAGTTTTGAAGGTTTATCTTGCTCCTAACTTCCTACCAATTCTCCTTTTTCGTTATTCCCCTTTCTTAAACCAGACATGACAAAGTGCGAACTCTCCAAATAATGCTATTTGCCAGAACCAAAAATCCTTCTTATCTGGTTACGTAGACAGCTGAATTTTCCTTCGCTACTATAAAAGCACAGACACTTTCAGACGTAATGAGAAGTGTGATAAGCACGAATGCCAAAGTACACAAGTGATCAACTACAACCCCCGCACACTGAACAAGAAGAGTGTCTCTTCCACAAATGTCCAAAGATCTCAGAGTCTCAGTTTACCATCAAAGCACACATACATGACTGCACATTCTTACGTGTCCACACTGTACCTTTTGCTCCGCTGATAGGTTTTAGGTAGAGAGCCAGCTCTTCCACACACTCCTTGCAAACCTCATACTGCTCAACCTCTGCTGCACTGCTCAGGCTCACTGGCTGCACATCTGGGACCTATGAGACACACGCCATAGCACATACAAATACATCAACTGTAGCCACCCAGAAAGAGGACAACATTTTGAGTTTGCTGTCTCACGGCGACAGTTTCATTATCACTCATGCAAACATACCTTCTTTCTTCCTGACTCACCTGAGCTCCAACCAGCTGCAGCAGGGCGCAGTTGACTGGCAGCAGGTCGATATCGGTGCTAATTGGTGTCTGATCAAAGGGGCAGGCTTTGCGGTGCAGCTTGTGTAGGCAGGTCTTACACACTGTGTGAGAGCAGCCCAGGCTGATGGGCTGGTGGCCGCTGCTGTCAAACTCATTGTAGCAGATGGGACAGGACAGGAACTCTGTCCACTGGGCTGCCTGCACTGGCATCCTGCCACCACACCGCTGAGGGAGGTTTCACCGAGCTCAGGGTCAATGCATGTCAATGAGCCCCAACAACAGCTCCTGCTCGCCAGTGCCGAGGCTGCCTGTAAGGGAAGAACATAATGATGTGTGTTAGTGATAGGTACTAATTTTAAGTATTTATTGATGGACATATCAATAGCTGTCTTCCTGTGAAGCATTCATAAATAAACAAGTAAGAATATAGTAAAACACAACTGAACTAATACAATGTCTTCCTAGAAGTTTAAAAATGCTTAAAATGTCATAACAGCTGATGATAACTATAGTATAATTTATTATAATTAACACTTTATTATACTGTATGCTTATATACCTCTTATATATGTAATAAAGGGGTGGGGGGGTTAAGTGTTAACATAATTTAGGATAGTACCCTACATAGAAGTACGGAGGGGCTACAAAATCAACAATACTTTTCCTAAATACATCAGCAAATACTTGATACAAATATTTTCAGGCAGAAAGTTGTGAAAACTTTGCAAAAATTAGCAGACAATGACACAATATCTGGTATGAGCTTCAGTGCCCAGCAGATATAGGAGCGGCATTAATGTGATTACTTTGTGCTCTGTTAAGTGCAATAAGCATTTAGCTAAGTACACAGGCAGTCTTCAGCCTCTCTTGCCATAAACATCATAAATTTATTTAATCTAATGAGGACAATAAAAAGGCCTCTCCATCGCTCTCATTACTTGCCAAAATCACAAAATATATTGAATAAAAGACTGCACATAAAGACCTCACGGTGAACACAATTTGGACAGTGTTAGGGGAATTTGTTTCACTCATCTCATTATAAACGTAGGTGAAAGATTATTTAATCCATATCATAGGATACCAGAACTATATTTTGATTATTACGGTGTTTGAAATCAACTCCTAAAATATGTGCTGCTCCTGAACTCAGATAGTCCCCATAATAAACACTTTCTTGATGTCCAAACAACTTTCTGTAGCTGATTGTTTCCAAATTCTTCTAGCTGAAGGACCAGGCCAGTGTAGATAACAACAATATAATTTAAAAAAACGAATCAACTTTATATGACTATGAAATAAAATCAACTGTAAGAGAGCAGCTTTGCTTTCAAAGCCAACAAAACAGCCAACACAATAACATATGCTGAAAGAGTGCAAAGGTCAAATATTATTTAGTGATGAAGGCAATTGCCTACTTTAGAGCTAAAAAATAATAACAAAATAAAATATTGTGGTGCTTTACCTATTGCATGTCATCTTGTATGCTACTGTATCTTATTAACCAAAAGCCAAACGTCACACAGACGTGCAAAAATAAAGCCCAAGGTCCTTTTGACTCTGTTATGCAAAGTGTGTTCGACACGACATGCGGACAGCCAGCACCTGTTGCTTTTAGTCTGTTACATCTGTACAAACTGCTCACCAAAAGTAACAGCTGGAACAGAGCAGCTGCCATAAAAATGTTTTTAAAATGTATCTACTGCAGTCAAATGGGTTTAGAGACTAAATAATTCACAGAGAGAGAGAGGGAGTAAAAATAATGGAGTACTAAAGAGGACAAAGCAGCTCAACTGCCTGACTGTACGGGTTTAGACATTATGTTGCAGAGCCCATGAATGGATTACACAAACTATTTACTGCACAAAGAAACGTTTACTTATCAGTTTATGAACACGCTGTACGCCTGTGTCCCATGAGAAATCCGTACATGTGTTGAAAAATAACCATAAATAAACACTCGACATTTGCCAGTAAACCTTTATGAACAGAAAGCTGTATATCTCTACAATACAACCGCGCTAACTCCAATAGAAAGAGAAAGAGGAAGTGTGCGCATTACGCACGACTTGTGCGCTACATTAAGTGAAAAATATATCCAGAGCTTCACCACAAAACACATTTTAATTTCTACGTATCATATATATGGCGACGTTCCAGTTATAGGCCTAACAGAGCACGCACCTTCCAAGCCGCCCGCAGCGCGGGCTGCCCGCGTTGCCTCCTTGACCGCGTGGACAGCTCCGCTCTGTTCTCGCGCGTCATATTTCCTTCCGCGAGGAGTCCAAAAGTACAGTAACTCCGCTTACTGCCATTATGGCCCACAGAGTGCCGAACCACCGCATGAGGAAGAATGAGGTGTCACTCGTGAGGTGAAACGGGTTCAGGAGTACGTTTGCAACCGAGGAAGGTGGAGAGTTTTATCTTTCTCTGCGTTCGCAGATTAGGGAGCGGTACAAACTCTGGGAGCAATGACAGCCACCTGTTCCTGCTCTGAGCAACTGCTACATCCTGTTTTTACAGGGGGGCCTGGCAGAAAGCTGGTCTTAGCTTTTGCTCTACCTCTGCCGCTCTCTGTGTGCACGCATGACTGGATACAAGTTTGTACACTGCTACATAATTGTTACTGTAGATTAATATGCACAAGTACGCACATTACACGGGGAGTGCAAAGTATCATGATATGAAGGAGAATTCCATTACCTGCATGAATGGATCACTACTCTTACATGGAAGTATGCATCATGCACACAATTATGAGTAAGTAGTCTTGTGACAGGGAGAAGTGGGTGTGTTGTATTATTGCAGCAGACCTCAACTTCCTCATCAGCCTCTTCTCCCTCTGTGATTATTGTAAAAGGAGGAAATCAACCTGTGAGCTCTGTTTGTAATTCTTCCAGACATGTTCATGCCTGCAGTTTACCCTGAGTACATAACTGACTGCTTAGAACACTGATATTTGAAACACACCCAAGCATCATGAAGATACATTACACTGAAACCGACCACTTTTAAGAGTGAGATAACTCTAAAAATGTTTAAAGGAGGCTTTGTAGACCTAAGCAGTGATTTGCCATAGTGGCCTGTTGAGCCACCCACTCTACTTTGCGGAGGATGAGAAGAACATTGTGTCTTTACAGCCAACAGTTGGCGAGCTATCATCTAGCTCAGGACAGCGAGTCCTCATTTGGCCCACTATGTCAAGGGGTGGGGGGCATCTGGAGTTTCCTCTGGCATGTGTCAGAGAGAAAGAGAGACAGGAAGAGAAAGAGAGAGGTTATTTTTAAAGTGTTTTCAGAACCTGAGGTAACAGCTCTTTTTAACATTCTGAGCCATCCTCACTTTTCAAGCGTCTTTGTGTTTGGACTTTCACTTTAGGCCATATATGATTGGATTAGCTTAAGGGTAGAGTTGATGTTTTCACCATTTCTGAGCAAAGTCAGCAAAAGAGAAAGTTCAAAGAAAGAGGTTAAATAGAGTCATTTTGGTATAGCATGGGAAAACGGGCTTTTCAAGCCTCAGTTTGCATCAAGCATAGAACTTTGCAATGGTTTCCCCACATAAACATTGTTAGGTAATTTCTTAGTTAGATAGATATGGATTAGAGATCTGTTGTATTAGAAGATGTTTAGTGCAGCAGGATGTCTTCCTCAGGCTGTTAAATGCAAGGACAGTTAAGGCAGAAAGTCTTCCGTCAGGGACGAATGTTATTATGACGGTAAAAGTAACCATAATATTTGTCTTAATGTGTAATGTTATGTCAAATTGTTTTAGATACACACCACGAAAACAACAGCCACACACATTATTTTCTTCATGTTTTGTCTACTGCTCTGCTCAGCTGCCAAGCTGGCATATCAGGTGACGTCACGGTTCGACAGCCCAGAAAGGCTTAATATTGTATAGCAATGCGTGGTTCGGGGTCTTCCTGCTTCCGGGCTGCTTTGGCAGGCTGGGGGGTTGGAAGATCTCTGGACTGGAAGTGTGGATTCTTGCCTGTGACCCTTAGAATAAACCAGCACGGATATATTTTTTATATACTCAAGTGGTCTGAGTCGTCCCTCTGAGTTCCTGGTTTGAAAGAACCAGATGAGGCTTTATAATGGTTTTTAGCCTTTAACATGGACCCTGAAAACAGCAGCAGATTGAAGCAGAATGTAGCAGTTGGCCAATGAGGCTCATCCAAGCAGTGCACACCCACAGGACATGTACGATTGGGTTATTGGAGTTAAGGTTACACATGCAGCGGATGTAGCTGTTACGGGGTCCTCACATGTTGTGTCTCTATGTTGCTTTGTCTATATATTCTTGCAGGCAGACGTTTCTGACTGTGCTGTGCCATGGCATTTCATGTCCTGTTATTTTGCAACTCCAACGTGAGTATTTCTTAGGCCTAATGGAGTCAGGTAGCCCTACCCCTCTATGTGTGGAGAGACATACAGTATCAAGGACAACCGTGCCACATTAATTTGTGTATAAATAAAATAACTAATGGGTCTGTGTTAAGTGGAGAGCAAATGATTTGGATTTTAAACCAATTTCTCCAAAACAGTGCCCAACTGATACGGAGTTAACAACCTGTTAAAGTATGTCTGACAGACTCTGACATTCACTTTGATACATGTATCTAAGACAGAGGTTTACCCAGTTTTGCAGCTCATCATTGCCCAGTATCATATAACTGTAGTCTTGGGGGCGAGGGGTCGTCTATCATGAGCGTTTTCTTTCTTTTTGATTTGTATTGCCCCCTCTAGTCTTCACTCTATAAACTAGACTAGGTGAGAACATATGTGTAAGATGTTTGAGCAGTTTGTAGAGAAATGAGCTGTCTCACTGCCTGCTCCTGCATCTAATGGACAAACACTCATCCTCATATCAGTTAGAAACTTTTCTGCTACACACAAAAAGAGCAAAAAAGACACACACTTACACACCAGCACTGAGCAGAGGAACTCCCGGCTCCTTCTTACTGTCACAGTGATCGCAGATTTAGAGTTGTCTGTAGTGTGTGTGTGTGTGTGTGTGTGTGTGTGTTTGTAAACATGTGAGAGGTGTGTGTACGAATAGGCACATAATCACATGTGACTACACTGCATTTGCTTGGGTTGGTGTTTATCACTCATATTTGTGAAACTAAGATAATCCATGAGAATTCCATCACTTAAAAATATTAGCACAAAGATAAACACTATAATTATTACTATCACTACTATTATTATTATTATTATCACAGTTCAAAACAGTATCACTACTGCAATTTGTTCATTTTCAGGATGATGTGCTCACACACTTTTGAAACTGAGCTTTGGATTTTAAAACATTTAAATATTTCTCATGACTCACTTAATGACATTTTAGATTCCTCCCACACAATCCTCTCTACAACATGAACCGGAATTTTAACATAAACCCAACTGCAGAGCCTTCACCACAGCCCCGTGGGAACAAGCGTGGGTAAAGCACATGACTGAAACTTCACTGAAACTAAAATACTGCATTATCAGTTTAAAGTCAAGCAAGCTAAGAAGAAACATAAATCCTAAGATGCATTTGTGCTGGCAACAAAGCTAAACACATGAAACAAATGAAATCAAATTGTGCTTATAGAAAACAAACACGCTAAACTTTCTATTTCTCCCCTGTAAAGTGAAAGCAATTCATGTATCCAGAGGGAGGTACTGGTGGTGAACGACTCAACACGCACGCAAACACCTGCTAACAACAGTAACAAAACACTGCACTGCACGTGCAGCCTGCAACGAGAAGGCGCATCACGACACGTACCCGTTGTGTGAAATCTGGAATGTGTTATTCCGCAGTTTATGACAGGATTACTACGGTTGCTTCACCGCGTCTGCTCACTTGCGTGTGGGCCTGGGCGATTATTTATTCATTATCCCTGTCATCATTGCGTGTGTGGGGGATGCATCTGCATGGAAAGCATGCAGGGCAATCATACAGCTCACATCGTATTATACATGACATATAGTAAATGCCTACTTTATTGCCATAGATAGGTTTGCAGTAACAGGAGCAACCAAGAATAATGCAATTTGTTACAGCCTCGCATCAGCATATATGTTCGCTCCAGTGGCAAATAAGAGGGTTATAGAGTAACCTCCGATGTGACAGGCTGCCGCACACTTAAACTTTATGATGACAGTGCTGTATTTCAGGCTGAAGACTGTTGTAGGTAATATGCAACACCTGAGCTAAAACCACCTCGCTGTGACTCAGGACGCAACTTTGAGATCATCGATAAATGTTACATTTGCACACATTTCTGTCACCACGCTCGGAAGGTAGCACCAACCAGTGTCCACCATTAGCAGCATATCTACAATGTCATGTTATATTTAGAGAGCGCAATGAACTCTTTCTAGAAAACCCTGGTTTGCATATAAGATACATGCGGATAATGTCAATACAGCCTGCCTTCTTCTAATAATCCCTCAGCACCAGTTGCAGATATTCGTGATGGGCTGGCAGCCGAATACTTCCAAGGATAATGATACATTTCTGAAATCTGCAGCTACTAGATTTTCATTTTCAGATGAGTAAAGGAAAAACAAGTAAACAGCCCTAAAATGTCAAAGGCTGTGCACACATCAAACAAAATCTCAGGAGAAAGTAGCGCGCACCTCCGGAGAAGTCACTTACCTCACGCACGAAACCAGAGCACTAGAATAAACATATTCATTTACATCCATAAAAAATGTCATCAATTGCAAAACAGCCAAAGCAGCCAGCCCAGAGAGGTACTTCTTGTTGCGAGAGCCGTATGGCACTGCATGTCAGGGCATTAGCGACAGGTCCTCTAGTCCACTTTAGATCGTCTCCTCCCTCTCCAAAAGTACGTGACGGACACGTTTGCTCAGGTACAGTGAGCCACACACCCTAAGCTTGACAAACCGCGGCTGAGAGAGGAGATAGTAGTATCGCTCCGCCAGTGATGGTGCCTGAACTGCGTCGGCAGAGAGCTGCTGCTCAGCTACGCATCATACATAGTCTGCCCAAGAGGCGGATTTGTTAACACTCCGACAGTTCAGCAAATCATACTTGTGCGTAACCGCCGGAGGGGCGCTGTGCGGCACTATTTTCATGTTGTGAGCAAGGATAAAAAGATGTAAAGGGGCAAGCCGGAACAAGCCGCTTTTCGAGGCGTGGGCTGCCTGTTTTTAAAGGAACAGAGCGAGAGGCAGCGCAGCAGAGGATGCGCTTCGGCAAGTGCGCCTGTCAAGAGGAAGTTCAGACACACAAACACAAACACAAGCAGTTCCATTTCGCTTTATTGCAGCCCTGCGATTTGAGCAGCGGAGTAGCGGAATAAATAGCATGCTTAAAGTCACTTTGCTTTTCAGCATCTATTTAGCCTCCCATAATCTGACCATACATAAACACATTTGATCAGGCTTCAGAAACACTCAATTTAAAAAATGGTCAAATTTGGCTACCCTTGTCGATGCTAGACAAATATATTCTATGCAATATATATCTGTGCAAATATATTCAGACGGCTTTTATGTGAAATATAATCCAGTTGTTGTATATTTATTACTGTTGACCTAATAGCTCACACTTGAGAGAGGATTTTTGTATAGGCCAGGCAGGGGCGCCGCTAGCAGTTTTGGGCCCTATGAAAAAATTTGAAGTTGGGCCCTCTACCTCACCCATCTGTGGGCCCCCAAAGTTCGTGGGCCCTTAGAATCATCCTAACTTTCCACCCCTAACGGCGCCCGTGAGGCCAGGTCAGTAAAACAATCTTACCAAGGCTGTAATTGTAGGCTACTGGGCCATCATTATGCAAAAGAAGCTCAGTTTAGTCAAACAGTTCATTTATCCATCCATCCACTATCTATACCTCTTAATCCTGGAGTCGGTCCCAGCTGACACTGGGTGAGAGGCGGGGGTACACCCTGGACAGGTCACCAGTCTATCACATAGAGACAAACAACCACACACACCCACATTCACTCCTACAGGCAATTTAGAGTCATTAATCAACCTAAGCTGCATATCTTTGGACTGTGGGAGGAAGTACCCAGAAAGAACTCACACAGGCACAGGGAGAATATGCAAACTCCACACAGAAAGGCCCCGGGTCAGCCCGGGCTCAAACCGGGAAACTCCTTGCTGTGAGGCGACAGCACTAACCACCGCTCTCCTTCCCATCTCTATTTGTCCATCTGTGTCACATGACCTTCTAGCCTGTTTCCTGTGTGTAAATGTGGCTGCATCAACATGACGTGGAGACAACCAGCGGAATGAATGGACAGCTGCACGCAGTGCCTTCAAAGTGTTCATTCAAATTTATCTGAAGCTGTCAGTATGCTAGTGTTTTCTAAATTGCACTGTTAGTGAGAGATGTATCTGAGTTTCTTTTACAACAAAGTAAGCCAAACATTATGTCAAGAAGTTCAGTCCTTCAGTGCAGTTTTTCATATGCACACCTTGTGTAATACGAACACTATAGACACTATGCTATAGCAGCTGGTTCAGACTACACTATCTCAACAGATACTGGATGGGTTGCCATGACATTTGTGGTGTCTAAAGGATGATCACAAATGAAAAAGTTGGTTGATTTTATCTTGTTTATATTGCTGTAGTATTTGCAAAGTATTCTGATGAAGGTATCGGAGTGGATACAATTGATGTTTTCATTTATCCTTCACTGTATTTCAGTGTAATCTCTGTCTTCTGTTTTCTGTCAGTCACAAACTCACATATTAGCCCTAACTTCTGTACTGAATACACATAAATACACCATGCTTTCATTATTTGTCAGCTCTCAGACTTGCAAATTTTCCTAACAACTAGTGTTTCCATTCACTGAGATGAATGATGATGACATTTCTGGGCCATAAGGATAAAAGAAAAGGAGACACATGAAGGGTAGGGATGAAATGAGAGAACATGGAAACCCTCTCAGCCATACAGGGGAACCCATTCACTTATAATGTAATGCCCACTGAGCTGCACACACTTTCAGTGACATCAAATGCAGAAGAAATGCTGATCTATCTTATAGTATTCCCAATTTCATTAATGAGAAGTGCAAATAAGCAATATTCTTTAAAATTATGAATGCATGGCAGCGATAATTACAGCAAGGTTCACTCAGACATGTTTGCATTGTCTTCCTAAACGTTCAGATAACATTTTCTATTGTTGATAGTTATATACGGCTTATCTTCTTGGTAAAGCAGAATAATCTTTACCTGTAGAGGGAGCTGAGGCTCATATTTAGCCTGTACACATCATAAAATGTAAATGATATCTCAAAGGTGTTGAAAACAATTTCAGTTTCAATCATCTGTGAGATTACATTCACTCCTATACATTGCAGATGATATGCCATGATGAATTGTGTCCATTGCATTCTGTAGGACATAATTCAGTATAGTTTATCCACAGAGATCAGGCAAACACTGCAGAAAGCAATGAAAGGTCCTTTTCCTCTATCCTCCATTAGCCAGATGTTACAGTGCAAATGCATTAACTCAGCAATTCTCAGTCTGTATGAAGAAAGAAAGTTTGCACAAATGTTTAAAAATATGAATGTTACACAAGTTAGATATTTTTTTTATTTTAATACATCACTCTCTGAGTCAGGGTAATGTTTGTCATATAGCTTATTGTGCTTTCTGGCACCTTGTTTACCATCCTGCCAAAATAATACAGAAACAAACTTTTAAACCATAAAAATCAATTGCATTAACTAAGCTAAAACTGTTTATCGTCAGTCCACAGGCTCCTCCAGCACATTTTGCAGGCTACCCTTTACATGAATCTCCTTCAGGTGGCGCCTGAGACCTGGCTTGTGCACAAAGAGCACAGCACAGTGGTTTCACTTATGGGGCTTATTACCTGTGTTCAGATTGACATGGTCTTGCAAGTGTGGCTTTCTGGGTAGATGTACTGTGGCACAGCAGGCATCTGAAAAGCTTGACGCCAGTGTGTACACTCAGGTTTCTCTTCTGGGAAAAGTATTTCCAGCAGACCAAGCACAGATACTGTCTGTGTTCCTTCAAGTGTCCCACATAGCTCTCTAGACGCTGGTTACACCTCCTGCACAGCTATGGCCTCTGGACCAATGTGCTGCCTGAATCCTCTGTCAGCTCATCTCAACAACAGCGACGCTGACAAATGTGCTCTAGAGAGGCAAAACAGACTGGAGTCCATTGGCTTCTTCCTTCACCTGCTTCTTCATCTAGGTTTTGGGAGCTTTCAGCCACATCTTTATGTTGAGTAGAGCTTCCTGAAGCATATACCGTCTCTGACAGCTCTGATAGGGCATGGCTTACCATACATCATAGAGCATCTCTAATGAGGTGAACCTGACAGGAGAGCTTGTTGTTGTGTGAACTGGCTGAATGCCTCCACTTTCTCTTAACTCAGGGGTGTTGAAACAATGTGATGGTTCTTCAGGTGACTCTGTTGTAGCTTTAACCACGCTCCTGCCATCTCTAGCTTTCCTCAGTCCTTAGCTGACCCTCAGCTGGAATGAATTAATACACCTCTCCCTTCCTCAGTTATTGCATCATAGATTGTTGTACTGGGCTGGACTGCATCCCTTTCCTCCTGACATTTGAAGCTGGTACCTGGCCAGCCACTATTCTGCTGCTGGACTTCTTCCTCTGATTGTCTCCCCAGGTTCAAGAAGGCCTGGGTCAGACTGAGGATAGTGGGGTGCACCTCTCTACCACCTGGCTCATCTGGAGCACACTGGCTACAGTCAGGTAGCTCATTAAGTGTCTTAGAGGGACCTGCACCTGTAATAGATACAGCTGTGTAATGGAAACCAAGGGAAGCAGTCAACCAACAGCACAAGATTCCCATCAAACTTCCTCTTGCAACCTTAAGAGACACATCCAAAAATAGAACTAATACTACTGATTGAGGTTGTCTCAGTCATCCTGTAACTTTTCATTTCACTTTCATATCATGAGTCTCATTCTTATGTTGTTATAACAGTATGTTTTGTGTCCTGCCATTCTGATACTCTTGACAATGAAATAGACCATGAACTGTGACAGAACGGAGGATTCTCCTCTGTTTTTATACTTTAAGAGTTCAGAGGAATTGTAGATTATATTGTACCTGTAGGAGCCCACCGTAGCAGGGCAAACTCTTGTCAACCTCTACACTGGAAACTACACCTAGATACAGCTCTGCCAGGCCTACATGGGGCAGAATGCTGCAAGTACCAGCAGGTATACAGTAAAAGTATGAATGGAATATCAACAAACGGCACTGTACTTAAAGCATAAAGAAATTACACTAAAAGATTATAGTACATTATATATTTTATAACTGTATTATTATCATTAGCAGGCTGGAATATTGTTTGATTAAAAACAAGAAGTTAATTATATATCTTTGGACAGTGGCCTCTCATCATTTGCTTAATATCTTGTATTTCATATCTCCTCTATTGTTAGCATTGTGCTTGTCATTTCCCGCAGGCTATCTGATGCAAAACATGAACTACCACTGCAAGTGCATATATTAGTACATAGTTATATAGCATATTTATATAACTTATTGATAAAATAAATTGAAAGAGCATTTTATTTGTCAGAATCCATGAGGTTTGCTGGGTGAGGCAGTTTTAAAAGTGACACTGGGACAACAGCTGGGACATTTCACCAGTCATTTACTTGTTTTTGTTCAATGGATATTCTGCAATAACACAAAAACACTCACATAGCAAACTACTGTATTCTTATGCTTACTTTATGTGTCCCACTCAGGCTTTAAATCACCCATGTATAAAGTACTGTAGCACAAAATTACACTTCTCACATTAAAACGCAGCTTGTGCCATGTGTGCATAGATCATATTTAACATAAATGTGTTTTCATATATTTCCAATTTTTGACAGTTTTGACTGTGGGGCCATATTCAGACAACTTATGACAGAAATGTAAGTCCAGGATAGGTATTTTTATGTTTCATATGTTATTATAACTAATTACACAAAATAAACATTGTCTTCCAGAACGGAAAGACTGTTTTCCTGTAAATGTGTCCTTTGTTCAGTCTTCCCTTCTGTGTCCGTCCAGAATATTGCTAGAGGGGATTCCAGTAGTTTGTAGTGTAAAAAAGAAACTTCTGCGTCAGACACGGAAGCAGACAACCCTAATACAATGTGGCAGAAAGCAGGGTGGACCGGTTGGAGGCATCCTGCTCCTCCCTCACCATCACCATAGTAGACTGTAACGTATCTTACTCATGACTCAGACAGTCAGCGTGAGAAAGGCTACTTGCCCTAAGCTGTCTGTTACGCTTTTCTATCGAAATTCAAGCGAAAATGACGAGCTCATTTAAAGTTGGCGAGCAGTCGTCATGAAGCGTTCAAAGGAAGAGTTAAGGAAAAAATGCGAAGACCGATGGGATGGCACCTTATTTGTTATTAGCAGCTCACCGTTAGGTCGTCAGTGGCTTTAGGTGAGGCGGAGAGCTCGTCCTGTCACCAGGCTGACTGTTGGACTACAAAGACCGAGCGCCCTGCGTCGACTTCGGAAAAGCCGAGCAGCGAGAGCGCATCAGAGGACGCCAGGCAGAGTAAGCTGTGTTCTCCAGTGTGGATGAAGTGCGCGGTCGTGGTTGTGGCACAGCAAGCAAGCAGATGGAAATAATAAGACTGCTTGCTGTACATTTGTTTATGTGATTAATGGTTCAATAAACATAGAAGTGTTGAGGAAAAGAAGGGAACCAGAGATCCATAGGTTGTTACATCCTGTCATTATTCATTTGCTCCATCAGCAGATGCAAAATTTCAGTATGTTTATCCACACTCAGTTTGTTATTGTAAGTACACTAGAGCTGGAGCCATTAATCGATTAGTTAATCAACAGAAAGTCAATAGGCAACAGCAAAAACTCTATTTCCTGCTTCTTTAATAACATTTGAAGTTTAAAGGTTACTTAAGTAAAAGCACAAAAGTATTAGCATTAAAATATAGTTAAAGCATCAAAAGTAAAAGTGCTCAGTGGTGGAATGTAACTAAGTACATTTATTATACTTGATGACTGATTGCAGAGCTGTCTGCATTGGCTTTAACAAAGTGTACTTAATAAAGAGGCAGCTGTGTGTACATTTAGTTTGTTGATGCTGCTGCCACAGTATAAAAATAGATGTTTACCCTGTAAATCTTAGGTTCTGGTTAGTTACTTCTCTTCAGAGTAGTCAGTTCATTTTTCAGTTTGAGCTTCATAATGCGGGCTCTGTTTTCTGGTTTTGAGACAGGGTGTTGTGCTGTTTGCAGTGTTTTACTCATCCCCAACCAAAAGCACTAATAATAATACAGATTCTCAGACTGACTCTGTACCACATTAAGGGAACTGCTGGCTTGTGGGATTAACGCTTGTGTTAACATATGTAGCAACAAGGATATACTTAGTTATCTGTTTTAGGGTTAGACATGCTATAAATAGTATCCTGTAAATGTTTTAATGTTCAAGCAAGCGCACGCAGTCCTCTGGTTTTTTATGTGATGATTTAATTTTATAGGCACTGTTGATTCATTAGGCTACTTGTCAAAGCACTTAAAGACAATTTAGCAACTTTATTTAGGTGTTTACTGGAAGAACGGTGTCAGTATCACAGACCTTTAGACAGTTGTGGGGAAAGTACATCATCACCGAACATGTGTAACATTCTGCACATTTTATTCAGGTCACATACAAAAACAGTACAAAACTGTACAGTCAGCTGCTGTAGCGGAGAAAAATTAGTTGGTTAGTTTAAACTAGAACAAGTAGAAATAGCAAAGCTACAATTGCATGTTTTCCATGTCACGTTTCAGTACAAAACCAGGAGTGTTCACAGAGATAGGGAACCACAGACTTGCAGCTACATCTCAACACAAGAGCATGAAAACATCCCACACTGTGCTGTGGTTTAGTGAATGAAATGTGAAATAGCCTGCGTTTCCCGGAGCCTTGATTCATTTACCTTTAGAAGCATGCCGCTTTAGGCACCTTTACTGAATTTGTCACGGGTGACTGAAAATCCTTGCAAACAGATCTCACAGTTTGCAGCTAACTGTATATATTCTATTCTGTTTATATTCTCCTATTACTTTATCTGTGGTTTTTGACCTGTAGACATTGCAGTGAACAAATATTTTTTAAGGAATGATGTAAGTGTATGATAGAGGCCAGTGCAGTGCTGAATAATGAGCATGAGGGATATTTGTGCTCAAACAGCCTGAAATGTATTTTTTCATTGTGCCAGTGAACCCTCAGGAATTACACACAGGTATCAGGGCATAACATATTTAGTGTTATGTTAGGTTCTAACCTAAACTGGAAAAGTTCTCTGACAAAGCTGCTCGTAAGGCCTCTTACTCCTAGTTTATTTTTCCCTCTCGTGTTGGAAAAGCAAATATTTATAACATGTGTTTCTCATGAAAGGTTGTTTTATGAAGCAACAGCTGTACAGAAGTGGTTTTTCTAACAGTAAGCCATGGATCAGTAAGGATGTGAAAATGGCTATTAACAGGAAGAGACTGTCATTTGCAAACAGTGACAAGGTCCAGTAAAAGTATGCATAAGGGTTTAAAAAGAGCTATTGGGCAGGAGAAACGGGAGTATAAACAGAAAATAGAGGGGACATTTTTGAACTGCAATAGTAAGGCTCCTTGGAACAGCCTTGAACTCATTACTGGCTGCGACTCCCATAAGGAGGGATCTATGGAAGAAAAGTTTAGTCCTAAAGAGGCTAATATGCTTTTTTGCCAGGCTTCAAATCAAATCAAATCAAATTTTATTTGTATAGCGCCAAATCACAACAAAAGTAATCTCAGGACACTTTACAAAGTAAGGTCTAGACCTTACTGTTATCACTATTACTACAGAGGGAAAACCCAACAAATCCCCCTTCAGCAAGCACTTGGTGACAGTGGGGAGGAAAAACTCCCTTTAACAGAAGAAACCTCTGACAGACCCCGGC